CTCCCCCCCCCCTTCTCCCTCTCTCTTTTCTCCTTCCTTCTCTCTCTCTCTCTCTCTCTCTCTCTCTCTCTCTCTCTCTCTCTCTCTCTCTCTCTCTCTCTTTCTCTCTCTCTCTCTCCAAAAATCGCCGAACCATAAACTAACAGGTTCCAAGATGACCTGCAAGCCATAAGGTCCAAAAGCTTAGGCTGCTGATATGGCAAAACAGACTTTAAGCAATACCACCAAATCATCCTCCTGATGAACACATTGCACTATATGTAAAAAGGGGCAAAGACACACCTGGACGGAGTTAATAAACAGAAAGGTGAACAGAGAGAAAGAGAAGATGGACAGACAGAAAAGAGAAGTAGAATGATAAACAGAAAAGTAAACAGAAAGAGAAGATAGATAGACAAAAAGGGGAAGTAGACGCACAGAGAGATAAAGGAAGGAGAAATAAAGACAGGGACAAGAGGATTAGCTTCCTTTTGGATCAAACTTCCTCTAGTATTGCTCGCCTTGCCCTTAGCGCTTGCCCTTGGCCCTAGGCCTCTTGCCCGCAGGACTCCAGTCTGACCTTGAGTTAAGGTCGAGTTGGGGAAAAGAGGCATTGAAGAGGTAGAGAGAGTCAGGAGAGAAAGGGGAAGTGGAGGAAGAGAGAGAGAAAAAAGAAAGAACGAGAGAGAGAGAGAGAGAGAGGGAAAGTAAAAAGAAAGGGAAAGATCAAAAGAATTAGAAAGGGCATAGAAGGGCAGGAGGTAGGTACGGGAGAGGGAAGATGGGTGGGGAGGAGAGGGGGGGAAGGGGTGGTAACAGGAGGGATGTCGGCGCACCCCCCCTCCCCCCTCCTACACCCATTCCCCACCTCAGGCTGGACCGGCGAAGTGAGTTGGTATGCTGGTTCACCTGTGCGGTCTGGTTCTGATCCACTACGAGAACCTTAAGCAGAGGAGAGAGAGAGAGAGGGCCTTCCCAGCATTAACAATGATTTCTGCTTATCACAAGTTCCTGTATTTCTACCGTTAGTATCATCATTATTATTCGAAAGAACCGGTATTCCCAATAATAACAATTCATCTGCTATTATGTATATTTTCTTCATCATACTCATCTCTCTCTCATACAGAACATTCTGCCCTCCACCCCCCCTTTCTTATTTCTCTTTCTCTTTCTCCTTTTTTCTCCTTCCTTTCCTTAGTTGAATCTTCTTCCTCCTCTTTCAACCTGCTCCTTTTTCTTCTTCCTCCCTCCTGCTCTTCCTCTTCCTCCCCCGTTCCTACATCTACTCCTTCTTCTCTTCTTCCTTTCCTCCTCTTGTTCCTCTTCTTCCCTCCTCCTCCTCATTCCCCTTCTTCTTCTTCCTCTTCTTCTTCTTCCTCATCCTTCTCCTCCTCCTTCTTCTTCTTCTTCCTCTTCTTCTTCTTCCTCATCCTTCTCCTCCTTCTTCTTCTTCTTCTTCTTCTTCTTCTTCTTCTTCTTCTCCTCCTCCTCCTCCTCCTCCTCCTCCCCCCTCCCCTCGTCGTCTGAGGGTGTGGGCGCCGCGAAAGATAAGTCCGCCCGAGGTGATAGCCGAGAGTGGGCGGCCTTACTACCTTCTACAAGGACACCCACCGCCCCTCGCTGGCAGCCGGAAGGAGATGGGAGGGGGGGGAGGTTAGGCTTTAGGGATGGAGGGGGAGGGAGGGAAGAAGGAGGGGAAGGGGGATGGGGGATGGGGGGAAGGAGGGGAAGGGGGAGTAGGAAGAAGAGGGAGGGGGAGAAAGGAGGGAGGAGTTATGGGAAGGGGGGGGGGAGAGGGGAAGAAGGAATACAAGTTAAGGGAGAGGAGGAGGGGGAGCTAATCAAGTTGGAAGGGAGTCAAGGGAGATGGGCAGAAATGGAAGATAAGGGAGAAAGAAGAGAAAGGGAGGGAGGGAGGGAGGGAGGAGGATTTAAGGGAGGGAGGGGGGGGGAGGAAGAGGAGAGAGGATCTAACGAGGGGGGAGGGGGAGGAAAAGGAAGGGGTGTATGGCAAGTGGATGGCGAGATGGAAGAGGAAGAGGATACAGAGAAAGATGATCACGAAGGAGAGGTGGAAGAGGAAGAGGAATATAATGAGGATAGAGAGGAAATGAGGAAGAGGTAATAGAAATAGAAATAGCAAAGGCAATAATGATAAATCCGTGAAAGAGAAAAAGAATGATAAAGACGATAATAACAAAGACTGCGCCATTAGACACAAGCTAATAAAAAAACAAGACAGACAAGGGAAATAACAATTATCCTTTATCAAAACATCTCATTGTCATTTTACGTTTACGCAAAAAAAAAAAAAAAAAAAAAAAAAAAAAGAGAGAGAGAGAGAGATAGAGAAAAAAAAAACTAATTTGCTATCTCAATTATGACAATCATCGTTGCAGGCAGTCATCACCACTAAGCCAAGGGTGATGAACAGCCTTGTGCAATCCTAGATGTGATGATGTGATGAAATGAAACGCTTGGGGGCGAAGTCATCAAGGGGAAATAATGAGTGAAAAAAATAAACCTAAGTGAGGGTTGAGATAAGCAAGAGAGAAAGATATATAGAGAGAAGTGGGGGAGGGGGAAATATGGAGAGGGAGAGGGGGAGAGAGGGAGGGAGGGAGGGAGGGAGAGGGAGGGAGGGAGGGAGGGAGGGAGGGAGGGAGGGAGAGAGAGAGAGAGAGAGAGAGAGAGAGAGAGAGAGAGAGAGAGAGAGAGAGAGAGAAGACAGACAGACAGAGAGACAGAGAGACAGAGAGAGAAGATAAGAAATAAAAAAAAGACTAAAGTAGAGAGAAAAAGAAAGAACACAGGGATAAGGATACGAAAGATAAGTACCAAGAAAGCAATGATAATTCTTCAGTACAATAAACCTCAAGGATTTTCGAAAAATTAAAAGAAAAAAAAACTTGTCACTCTAAAAAGGTACAAATGCAATGAAGAAGAATATGAGAAAGAAAAAGAGAGAAAGAAAGAAAAAATAGCAATAAATTTCAAGATATTTGGCCTCCCCACCCCCCTTTAGTTCAAAGGGGGGGATGGGGGGGGAGGAGAGCGGCACCTCCAAGGATAACATCCCTAGACCTTGAGTTCGTCGTGAGACAAGGTAAAATAGCCCCTGGAGCAGAGGTGCTTAGGGGCGATCTTACCCGCAGGACTCCCCCCACCCCCCACGTGCAGGATCCTATAGGTCGGGATTCTGTTTGATTTTTATCTGAGGCTGGCGTCCTGCTCGGGGGGAGGGGGGAGGGGGGTAGGAGGGGAGGTCTCCGTGGCGAGTGACACGTATGTGCTTGTGAGATTGCCAGGCACTCTCTATATATACACACGTGTACGCCTATTTATACGAGCATGCATACACATACACATACACATACACATACACATACACATACACATACACATACACATACACATACACATACACATACACATACACATACACATACACATACACATACACATACACATACACATACACATACACATACACATACACATACACATACACATACACATACACATACACATACACATACACATACACATACACATACACATACACATACACATACACATACACATACACATACACATACACATACACATACACATACACATACACATACACATACACATACACATACACATACACATACACATACACATACACATACACATACACATACACATACACATACACATACACATACACATACACATACACATACACATACACATACACATACACATACACATACACATACACATACACATACACATACACATACACATACACATACACATACACATACACATACACATACACATACACATACACATACACATACACATACACATACACATACACATACACATACACATACACATACACATACACATACACATACACATACACATACACATACACATACACATACACATACACATACACATACACATACACATACACATACACATACACATACACATACACATACACATACACATACACATACACATACACATACACATACACATACACATACACATACACATACACATACACATACACATACACATACACATACACATACACATACACATACACATACACATACACATACACATACACATACACATACACATACACATACACATACACATACACATACACATACACATACACATACACATACACATACACATACACATACACATACACATACACATACACATACACATACACATACACATACACATACACATACACATACACATACACATACACATACACATACACATACACATACACATACACATACACATACACATACACATACACATACACATACACATACACATACACATACACATACACATACACATACACATACACATACACATACACATACACATACACATACACATACACATACACATACACATACACATACGCATATGCATACCCATGTATATACATACATATAAACTCTCTCTGTTTCGCGTTCTCTGCTTCTCTGACTGTCTTTTTCTTTTTCTTTCTCTTTCTCCTTCTCTTTCTCTCTCTCTCACATACACGCACCCGAGCACATATGTGGGGGTTTCTAAGCGACATATGGAGTCGAGGGTTTCCCCGCGCCCAGCATGTGTGCGTGTGAGAGTGTCACCTAACCTAATTTCCGTGGGATCTCAGCCTCATTTATTATTAGAGTTAATTACCTACTGCAATTATTTATTTTCGGAACCATCTACGCTATCATTAACTTTATTGTATGTGTACGTAATCGCGTGTGAATTGTGCAGTGTGTGTGTGTGTGTGTGTGTGTGTGTGTGTGTGTGTGTGTGTGTGTGTGTGTGTACATATATATATACGCACGCACACACGCACACACACACACACACACACACACACACACACACACACACACACACACACACACACATATATATATATTGTATGTGATCCCTTCATTCTTGAAATTCTTCATTGTTGCCAAATCAAACCAGCAACTTACCTTAAGAAGACGCTCCTTCGTGTAGTAAACATCCTCTTCCTCCTCTTGGTAATTGTCGAGGTGAATGTTGTCCTGTGAGCGGCCTAAGATCCTGCGCCTGGAAACCATCTCGAGTGTGGGAGCGGGGCCACAGCTAAGATGGGGGGGAGGGGGGGGGGAGAGAAGAGAAATGAAGAGTTAGTTGATGTGAAATTTTTTTTCTGTTTATTTATTTATTTATTTTATCTATTATTTTTAGTGGTGTTATTTTTTTCTTTCTTTCTCTATACATTCATATCCATTTTCACTTTTTTAATGAATATATCTTATATTTATCTGTTTTCTCTTTCTCTATCTAACATCCATATTTTTCTACTTATTCTCTCCTTTTTATAAATTTATCTTATTCCTATTTATCATTTTTTTCGGGTGTCACGTTGGTCTGTTGACTTTGACGCCGTGATAAGAGAAAAATAAAGACTTAATTATATGCGTTGCTTTTGTGTAAGTGACAGAAGTTTCATTATTTTTTATATTTCTGATGGTGTTAAAATTTTCTGATAATGTTAATAAGTTTCGTTTTTGATAATTAGTAAAGACGATGATGCTGATGAAGATGATGATGATGATAACAACAACGATAACAAGAACAATAACAACGATAATAATAATACAAAAAAACAATAATACTAACAATATTAATAATAATAATAACAAAAATAACTATAATAACGATCATAATCCAAAAACAATAATACTAACAATATCAGTAAAACTAACGATAACAAATCAGTAGCAATAACAATAACAGCAACTCATAACCACGAACAAAAAAAAAATCAATTAAAGAACTAAAAAAGAAAAAAAAAGTCAAGTACAAGGACAAAAGCCAATTAAATGAAAAAAGGTAGTAAAAAAAAGTTAAAAGGTAAAAAAAATTAAAAGGTAAAATAATATAAAAAAATGACAACAGAAAAACAATATGATGGCACTAAAGCACATTCTTTCTTGCCCTTTATGGTCTTAGGGAAAAAACGGACAAAAAACAATCAATCATGTGACAGAAAAAAAATACTTGTACCCTACACTCCTGACCTTCAATTGAGTCCTCGTTGGTCAGCGAAGGATTGGCACTTATCCTGCACCGTATCCTAGTTGGTTTCTCTCTTTTTTATCTCTCTCTTTTATCATTCTTTCGTCTTATCTATTTTTCTTTATTTTTTGAACGATTTTTTTTTGTGTGTGCTTATTGTTAGTTTGTTTTTCTTTCTGTCTCTGTCTCGGTCTCTGTCTTTGTCTCTGTCTGTCTCTGTCTCTCTCTCTTTCTCTCTCATATATCCTCTATCTATTTTCTGTTCTTCACTTCCCTCATTCTCTTCTGAATATGTTCTGATATCATCAATCTCCTATCTCCAGTTATTCTTTGGTGCCTTTTTTATCATCTCCCTTTCACAGTCACTGTTTTGCGCCCTTCCTGAATATTCATTTCACTTGTATCATTATTTTTTTTCTATTTCATTCATGCAACCATTCGTTTTTTTCTTCATTTCGTTCATTCCTGTTTTGTTATTGTCGTTTTTATTGTTCAGACGCAAATTTGCTTTTCCTTTGATACAATTGCTACTCCGTTTGTTTTTCGCTTCATTATCCAATTTGCCTTTTCCCTTCTTCGTCAACCTTTTTGTTTCTATCCATTATATTTCTTAGACTTTTCGACGTGCGTGCGTGCGTGCGTGTGTGTGTGTGTGTGTGTGTGTGTGTGTGTGTGTGTGTGTGTGTGTGCGTGTGCGTGCGTGCGTGCGTGTGCGTGCGTGTGTGTGTGTGCGTGCGTGTGCGTGCGTGTGCGTACGTGTGCGTGTGGGTGTGCGTGCGCGTATGCGTGTGCGTGTGCTAGCACGCGTATGTGTCGTCCGCGCGCGTGCCTCAACTTTGCCCCCCCCCAAAAAAAAAAAATGCCTAAAAAACCGATCCAGTGTCAAGACTCGGCCGCCATCTCCCGAGGCGCTCTCAGGGTACAACGCCATCAGTCGAGTCGAGGTTACTATGTGAACTAGATTGTGAAAAAAGGGAGACTGGGAAAAAAAAAGAAATACTGACTTACAAGAAAGGGTGATTGTGGAGTAAAGGGGTAAGGGAGATGGGGGGGAGGGGGGAGGGGGGGTTGGACACAAGGACAAGTAGCAAAAACTCCAAACCAAGGTCACAACCCCACCCAGTTCTCATTCTCTCTCTCTCTCTCTCTCTCTCTCTCGTTGTCATAATCCAAATTTCTCCCTTTCATTCTCTCTCCCTTTCTCTAATTCTCTCTTTCTCCCTCAATCTCTGTCTCTCTTTCTCTTTCTTTCTTTACAAAAACGAAAAAAATAATAAATAAACGAACGCTTAACGAGAGACCGAGGGCGAGACCAACCTATCGTCGGACCAAAACAAGACCAACAGGCTTAGCAGCTCGTTCGATCCTCGATCCCACCTACATACCTCCACAACACAACCCCGCGAGAGACCTTGGACTCCATAGAACAGGGTTACGTAAGCGAGCGCATACTCCCGAAGCCCCTTCAGGGTCAAACGTAAAAAAAAAGAGAGAAAAAGAAAAAAGGAGGAGGAGGAAAGATGGATAAAAAGAAGGGAAGAGGACATATATATAAAAAAAGGAAAAAGGGTGAAGACGGATTTGTAAAAGGAAGAAAAAAAAATATCAGCCCGATCGTTGATGAAGGCGTTGCTTGTGGGTTACGAGAATAAGGTTGGCATAATCTACACTAACAAGGGTGATTTGAGTTTGAGGGATGGGAAGCTGGCATGTTCTTTGCAGGGTTTCGATGCCTTAGGAACTACGCGTTTATTCGCCATAGTATCATCATCGTCAGCGTCGTCGTCATCGTCATCGTCATCGTCATCGTCATCGTCATCATCATCATCATCATCATCATCATCAATATTACTATCATTTCTATCATTGCAAATAATATCATCATCACTACTATCATTGTTATTAGTATTATTTATCATTATCCTTATTACTATTATTATCATTATGATGATGTTCCCTGTCGTTATTACTTTTACTTCTGATCCGATTTTTCGCTTTGTTAACAGTCTTGTATTGACAAAGACTTAAACATTTATGAAAGTTTCTAGAACAGCAGGCAGATAAAAACACAAGGTCTTCTCGTTAAAGACTTTAAAAAAATACAAATAGCAATTGCACCACTGGATTAAGCCTTCGTTCAAATGAGACCAAGACGATAATGCACGACAATCAATTCTTTATCATAAGAAAAAAACACACATGAAGGGAAAGAAATATATATATGTACTGACAAATAAGGACAGCTCCCCACACGCCCGTCCTCGATTCGAATGCCACCCTTTCTGTGTCTCATGTCTCCTCATGACATTTCTCTCACACACACACTCACACACACACACACACACACACACACACACACACACACACACACACACACACACACACACACACACACACAGAGTATATTATACCTCTCTCTCATCTCTCTTCTCTTTATCCTCATTTCCCTCATCCTTTTACCATCATCATCATCCTCCACGTCTTCTTTTAATTCTTCTTGATATTCCCCTCTTCCTTTTCCTTCTCCCTTCCCCACCTCGGTTTATTCCTCTCGCCTTCCCATTTAACCCTCTCTTCCCTCCCTTTCCCACCACCTCTTCTGTCCCTTCACCTTCCATTTATCCCTTCTCTTCCCTCCCCTCTTCCCCTTCCCATCTCTCCCTCTCTTCCCTCCATCTCCTCTCCTTCCCTCCCATCTCCCCCTCCTCTTCTCCTCTCCCTTCCCCTCTTTAACCCTCCTCTTTCTTCCCCTTCCCTCCCTCCTTTCCCCTCGCTCTCCCCCTCCTCCTGTCCAAAACAAGGCCGATTAGTTTTTTTTCTCCCCACACAAGAGGCGAATCCAGGGGGACCTCAACTAAACGTGGGGAGATTACGGAGACGATTTCAAGCCTTCAGGAAGAGTAGGGGTGGGGGAGGGAGAAGTATTTTTGAGAAGAACCTCGGAAATTTTATCAAATAAGATGAAAATATAGTGTATTAACATTAAATTAACATTAAAATTAACATTAAAATCAACATTTAACGTTAACATGAATAATACATTCACATCAGATAAACGCAATATATATATATATATATATATATATATATATATATATATATATATATATATATATATATATATTATTCACCAGGTAACTTGACATATTCAACAAGACACAGTAAAAACAACACTAAAAATAATGAATGAAACGAAAACTGTATTTATGAAAAAACGCATATGAAAGAATAAAAAATACAACAGCAATACATTTTACTTTCATTTTTTCTTCCTCTTTTTACCTACCAAGATCGAAGACTCCCAAGCAAGTAGTCGAGTGGAGTGCGAGGATGATGCAGAGACTTGTACGTCATCTCAGGTCAAAGGTCAGTTTCGGATTATCTTAGGTCAAGAAAGTGTTCTTTTCTACACACAGAGAGAGAGAGAGAGAGAGAAACGTCGTGGAACGCTCTGGTCAACGCACTCGTCACCCCTAAAATGAACACCCGCATCTCTAAAGTTCTGATTAACGGCATTATAATTTACACGTTCTTTGCCGTCCTCTTGTTCACTTGTTCTGCATGACATCTCCCTCAGCGCGACAGGAATGCAAAACGGAGATCAGGGTACGCTTTGGCACCTAAACCCCGCAAAAACATCCGCTAGCCCACTATGCCTAGAATGTATCCAGGAAAGAATGACCGGCCGCCACTCTGCGCAACCGACCACAACAAAGGGGACACTGCCCTTGCTTCTTATAAGAATACACGCTCACGCTCTCTCTCTCTCTCCTCTCTCTCTCTCTCTTCTCTCTCTCTCTCTCCTCTCTCTCTCTCTCCTCTCTCTCTCTCTCTTCTCTCTCTCTCTCTCCTCTCTCTCTCTCTCCTCTCTCTCTCTCTCCTCTCTCTCTCTCTCCTCTCTCTCTCTCTCCTCTCTCTCTCTCTCCTCTCTCTCTCTCTCTCCTCTCTCTCTCTCTCCTCTCTCTCTCTCTCCTCTCTCTCTCTCTCTTCTCTCTCTCTCTCTCTCCTCTCTCTCTCTCTCCTCTCTCTCTCTCTCTCTTCTCTCTCTCTCTCTCCTCTCT